CTCGATTACAAAATGGATCGATGACGTCATCATTTAATGCATTCAGAACAACAACGCTTACAAACGTTCAAGTCACAATGACATTTTCTTGCACTCTTGAACTCTGTCTTGGGCCATGCAATGACGCAAGTAAAATTTCATTTTCTGCAGATCATACCAAATTGAAATGATAAATTCAAATTGAAACAAGCTTTGAATTTAGACCATTATTTCGTTCTTCAGGAAGCGTGTGGACCAAGGCGGAAGCGTGATACAGACCTTAAGACGAAATCTCGCGAAAAACGAGCTGTTGAAGAACTACTGGGACACTCGTACATTGGAAACAGATACACTGTATCAAGACTGACAACTATCATTAAAACCTCAGGTAAAGGGTTAAACATTAAGTTTCATATCAGAGGTATTTGCACAAAAACTTCATCATTACCTGGTTACATGTGTATAGTGACTATGTATTAAATGCAAATTTACTTTTGCTTGCCTGTCGTTATGGGATGTTGCGTTCTGCGTTATTTTGCTTTGAGCAATTGTGAACCTTACACAGAAATAACATGATTGTTGTCTTTGTTTTTCCAGATCCAAATAAAGCTTGTGTACATTTCGCCATTATTTTCCTCTTGTTTCCAACATTGACCATTGTTGCAGTGAGTTTGGTGACTTATTCCTTAATTCTTTATAGAAGTTACAGACAGCAGGTTATTTTGCAGTCCGAAATTCTCAATAGTCGTACTGCCTCAAACGTCAGCATGGGACCAAAGATAGAAGATACTGCCATATGACGTCACTAACTCAAACATTAGCATAGGACCAAAGATAGAAAATACTGCGATATGACGTAACTAACTCAAACGTCAGCATGGGACCAACGACAATAGATACTGTGATATGACGTCATTTATTATTATGCGCCCGGATCGATAGATCCAGGGCGTATATTGTTTTTGTCCTATCTGACTGTCTGTCTGTCTGTTTGTTTGTTTGTTTGTTTGTTTGTTTGTCCCGAACTTTAACCTTCACCATAACTTTTGAACCATGAAAGATAGAGACTTCATATTTGGTATGCATACTTTACTAATTAAGTTCTTTCAAATGAAACCAAGGTCAATGACCTTGTGACCTTGACTGTGGCCCATATGCTAAAAATAACTTTTTTCTGCAAACTTTAACCTTCGCCATAACTTTTGAACCATGAAACATAGAGACTTCATATTTGGTATGAATACTCCACTAATTAAGGTCTTTCAAATGACACCAAGATAAATGACCTTGTGACCTTGACTGTGGCCTATACGCTAAAAATAGTTTTTTCTTTAACCTTTTAACCTTCGCCATAACTTTTGAACCATGAAAGATAGAGACTTCATATTTGGTATGCAACTCCACTAATCAGGTTCTTCCAAGTGACGCAAAGGTCAATGACCTTATGACCTTGACTGTGATGTTAATGCTAAAAATAGCTTTTTCCGAACTAAAAAACAAATGTTGTTGATGAACATTCTAGCAAATATGAAGAGCAAACTATTACATATGTATGACATTGAGGGTATATTTATTTATATGAATATCCAGTGTGATCGAACAGTTGTATTCAGATGACGCTAAATGTATGACATTATAAAAGAATTGTTAAAATGTGTTTTTAGTAAGATATATAATAATAACTTGATATATGCTGGAGTGAAGATTGCATGAGAAAGCTTTATTTTCATGTTTTTAAATGGTCAAACTAGATATAATGCACATTAGTCAATTTGCCTGTACATATGTTTAGAATGTTACTTGTATCAAGATGACCTTTGTACAAAATAATCAGATTGCTTAATTGAGTTACAAACGATTATTAATTATGTCATTTGTCTAATTGAAAATACTTGAATAATTAATGCAGTACAAATATAATAAATATAATTTAATAGAATCGATGAAGAATCATGCATTCATATTTATCTAATTATTGGAAAAATATCAATTACGAATAAATAGATAAATGAAAATACGTCATTTGGTACAAGGTTTCAAATACCAGAGGACAAAAGACGTGACTTGTTTAATTACATCACGTGGCTATATGATTCATGTATCACGTGACAAAGGACCATCGTTTACAATATTGCATGTAAACCTGAGACAGACTCTTCAACTTCCAAAGAAGGTGAGAATTTTTTTTAATTTGATGAAACAAACATTTTCCGCTATAAACATCTAAAGATATGAACTGCTTCGTAATTGTAAAACTACAATTTTAATTGTTTTCTTTAGAAACTAGACTTATCCTCTCTATCTTTAGATGAAAAGAATGACAGTTGAGGCATCAGCAGTTAATTATGTTTTCTCTTTCATATGAAATGTCGTATATTTCATAATTAAACCTGATTTAATATGATGGATTTTTAAATTAGTACCGTATATACTCGCCTATATGTCGTTTTTTTACTGTATATTTTAAATTATTCAACTGTTCTAAGTATTAAGAAAAAAACCAAACGAATATAAATAACAATCTCTTCTTCTTTTCAGACTTGCTATAAATGGATATAGCCTTTGTATTAAACATCGATATAGGTATTTAATTTGAAGATGCTCATCGTGGCCTTGTTTGCAATATTTTATATCAGGGACGTGTATTCGGAATTCAATCCTCAATGTAAGCTACTGGCTTATTCATGAAACTCATTCTTTTATAATAATGACTTATATCGTAAAAATATTAAAGAATGTTCCTTTTTTTACGTGAAAGTAAAAAGATTTTTTTAATTGTCCTTTATAATTTTTCTATAATTTTCCTATTTTTTATGTCCAAAATTGTTTGTAATTCCTTATATTGTCTTTTTTAAATTGAAGTGAACGTTGAAAGCTGTACAAATTCGGAACTCAAACTTAGTCTCAAAAACTCTTCGCCGGACGGTCTTGTCTTCATTCAGGGTCAAGGAAGTGCTTGTAAACATACTACGACTGGTAAAGATCAACAATTATCCTTCGAATTTGGTCTATGCGACATACAATATGTAAGTGTTGGCACTTCTCAATGTAAAGTCTAAAATTATTAAGCGTGTTTTTTACTCTGTAAGTTGATAAATTTAAGGTGTTTTAACATTTCTTCTATACATGTTTAAACTTAAAAAAAAACATTAAACATGTACAAAAGAACAATCCCGCGTGAAAAGATGAAAATTATGACAATATTGTGTACATATATCGACATTTTGTTTATTTATAATCCGTTTATACTTCATATAACTTAAAAACCTTTTCAGAAAAAAGAAGAAAGATTTCAAATTGAATTAAAAAATTAAATTTATATATCTAGGACGCTATATTTCGAGTTGTTGTTCAGAAGAGACCGGAAGTACAGACCGGTGACGACAAGGTAGTTCCGGTGATGTGCATGCTGGATCTCTCAGACATGTTGGTTAACGGAGTTGTATTTCCTGGGTAAACTTCTTGATCACTGAACATTATGATTTGAAATTTTGCAGTCCCCTCATTGCGTTCTATAACATTTGTTTGCTATTAATTCAAAACACAATGTTATTTTGAAAAAAAGAAGATACAAAAAAAAAATCGTTTTATTTTTCTTCAAAGGCAAAATTTGAATTCAAAAGAGGGCTAGTATTTGATATGCATGTTTGTTTAAATAAGAAAATAAAAAGTAAAAGATGTTTGAAATCACGGAAATAAATAATAGGAAATGAACCACAAGTATTCAGTAGCGTCATCATGTTTAATCTTTCATTCAAGGAACGACGTAGATAACATCGGAATTAACAGAACGGAAAAACCTCGTGCACGCATGCGTGTCTTTTCGAACATTGTTGACGTAAGCAAAGGAGTTGTGACTTTAGATGATCCTCTTGGGATGGAAATAGAATTAGAAGAGGGCTATCAAGGTTTTTCAAAATCTACATTTGTTTTCATATCTAATTATAAAATTAAACACGATGGATTAATATTATCTTTCCTACCTAACTTGCTCTTGCACCAATCGTTTGACTATATCGATGACTTGATTTTCTTACTATGGATGCACATTCGCACATATCTAAGTATGATTGCATAAAAAATACTTTGTGAATTGTGGGGAAAAAAAGAATCTGTGCAATTATATACATAGCAAAATCAGATTAAAATGAATAAAGAAAACATACTGCCCTACAACTCAGTTTTGAAAACAGTTTCGTGTGTATTTTTCAGACACATTTGATATTCGAGCCAAGGATTGTACCGCCGCTATGATACCTCTCATAAGAGATGAGTATGTCTCCTTAATTACAATTTACATTTCTTTAAACTTCCATTTGCGCATATAGACTAAATTTCTTGAATGAAAAATGCCCCTTTAAAATAAGCAATGTTTCTTCTACACTGTTTAGACTCTATTTCAAAATATGACAGCTTACTAGAGGGTGTGAAAATATTATTATTACCCCTACCCGAAAAAAAGTGCAAATGCAGGTAACATAATTTTGGCAATTTAAAGAGTAGAGCGTTTAGGGACTTTTTTTTTGTCAAAGACTTTTGATAGTTTATAAATCATCAGCATATTCTATCCTTTGCAAACGTAGATGTGCCCCTGATCTGGAACTATTTCCAAACTTTGAGAAGACAAAAAGAGGTTCCTTGGAATCAAAGTTCCGGGCTTTTCAGCCCACGAATCTGAATGGCGAAACTGAAGTGGATGTTGTTTTCAATTGTCAGCTCTCTGTGTGTTTGGGAGATTGCTTTGAGGTTAGAGAAAAACAAAATATCAGTTATTTGATATTCGTAAATATATAAAAAAATGTTTTACAGGAAATTTAAGATCCACAATAATCACTTATTTTTATCATTTAATTTGAATTCATTTTTAAAACGAATTCTCATTGATGAAAAAAATAAATACAAGCGGTATTGTCATTTTTATTTGTTTCATTCTTCAAAAATTTCAGAATCAATGTAAAAGAAATTGGGATCGCATGAAAAGATCAAATGACGAAATAGATGAACTCACAGTGGGGACACGGATTCGTGTTAAGTCACCACCACATCAACAAAGAGGTGATTTTTGTTCGAAATGTTAACACTTAACCATTATGCACAGGGTGATACTCTCCCATTCAATTCATAGAAAGATGACTAAATGTTTACTGAAAAATGACTGAATGGCAGAAGCTCTGTGGCCATTCAGTAACCTTCCTATACCTTTCAGTGACCATTCAGTGGACATTCAGTAGAGTGAAAAGCAGACTGAAATTAATGTTTAATCATCAATTTTGACAATTATCTTTTAAACAATGACAATCAGTCTAAGAGTAATTTAAAATTTCAATCTTTATTTTGTTTGTTAAACTTTCAATCTGTATCTTAATTGCTAAACTTGTCAATTGTTTGCTTCACTTCATAAACTTACCATAGAATTCAAACCTATTATATATCTAAAAGGCATTCAGTGATTTTTTTTATATTCAAAGTGGAAGACAGCCCATTGCCGAAATTTTGCTTGGAGAGGCTCTTTGTATACATTATCTGTATTATGGTCGGGATCGTGATTCTCGGTTCCTGGACAGCCATTGGTTATCTCATCTGTCGACTGGTCAGCAGTGGTATCAAACCTGATCTGGAGGTTGCAAGATCTGTGGGACGAAGGCTCTCCTCCATCCTCAATCTTCCGCAAGGTTATAACTTTAATGACCCGAAAACGTTCGACTCTATTCCGGAAGAAGAAGGAATGACACCTCCGCAGCAACGACGAAAATCAGTCACGGTTGGTTGAAATTGTTCTTGTATTCTTTTGTTTTTGCAAGTATCCTATTTTTAGTTACAATAAAACTGAAAACTGAAAAAAAATGTAAACAGGATTTTATATTCATCATGCAAAATGATCAAATTGAGGAATGTTTTGTTTTCTGTCTCTTTTAAAACTTAAAATCATAAGCTTTTATAATGTTTCTTTTTAGGTGATGCATGTTGGAGCTATAGACGCATGATAATGTAAAGATGTAAAATATGATGGTTCTGTTACGTGTACATCAAATATGGATTATTGACTTTCATGGATATATATTTTTAAGTTGGGTGACAAAAGATGACTGTCTTCTATAGGCATTGCATGAATCTGAATAAAATCTTCCGTGTAACAGTCAAGTTATGATGTTTATATTTAGGCACTTAAACTGTGTAGAATACATGCATGAAAAATTAGCTTTCTTAAGGCTTTGTCTTCTCCTTTTTTATATTATAATTTATTGCTGATTTCACACATCCACGTCACTTCAAAATAATTAATACGAAATTAAAACAATGTATATATATTTCATATGTTTATCACTGCTGATAGGAAATCAATGAAATTAATATTGATTTGCAAATTTTAAATTTTTGCACGATTAAAATCGTTTTTTAATATTTAGACATTTCACACAAGTTTCTAAAAGGATAAAAGATAGGTAAATCTTTACTCAGATGACAAAAAAATTCCACAGATCAAAACAAAAAAACCGAAAAACCATCTATTCCGCATTGTATACATTATACAAATGATTCTTGTGTTGAATTTCAAACTCAAATAACTAGGTCAATGACTTAATCATGGTAGTGGAAAATCTCGGAAAATACTTCAATTTTTCACACTATGACAAGATATTTTTCGTTACTAACAAAATATTACAAGCAATAAAAGCTTAAAGCAATGTAATATTGTAGAAGGGGAACAGCGTCGAATTATATAAATAAACGATTAAAGTTTGGGCCATAAACTCATTAATTACTACAGTCTAAATTTCCTCTGTTATATTTATACTTTCTTTCTTGTTTTAATCAAATATTAAAAAAATATAGATGATAAGAACTCTAAATCAATTATAGCCTAGAGTTACTTTTGTTGCCCTTATTCTAATTGCAAAATCATTATAATATGAGGTCAATTCTCAAACTATTGAGATATGTTGTCTGAAATGGTTTTCATATTTCTGATTTTTTTCTTTGATAGCATTCAATTATTTGGAATGATTCATGAGTTTTAACACACGTAATATTTG